GCAAATATTATTTGCAGGCTAATTGTAACGCTTAAGACTGTTATAATAGTGGATAGGTGATATCATCTTCATTTCAGTGAAGGCGTTGTCAAAATGGTAGACGTATTGACCTTTCGCCTTTTACGTCGCTCGCTTTGAGAAAAAAAAAATCACGCATGCATGTTGTATACTTTATTAGGAAAATGTGGCGCATTTGATGTTGATATACTCTTCAATCAATTTTTGGTGTAAAATGCGAGTTTATCGCAATTTCGCCCATTAACAAAAGCAGTAGCCTCCCACGCAGACATTCTCAGGGTTCGTCACGCGTTCCCCGGGCAGGAACACGTGACGAACCCCTAAAAACGTCTGCGAGGGAGGCTACAAAAGCAGTTAAACAGTTTTAAATTATAACAATTTCACCTCAAGCATGAAGAAATGCTTAGTTTTCTTAACTATTTAAGTAAATCTCGATTATTTATAAATAAAATGGTGGCTATTTTAAATTTCACAACAGTTCTGTAACGGGGCCGCATGGCTTAATGTTCATTAATGAATTTATTATTCGAATGTTGATCTTTTGAAGATTTCAGATTCATCTGCATTCGTGCATGCATAGTGAGCAGTGAATTCACACTCGAGAGAGAACAATGAAACTTCTACCTACTCAGATTTCTTGAATTTGGTGTAAATGTCTTCAAAGCAATTTTATCCATTCAAAGATTTTTTAATCTGACCGAATACAGAGAGGTATCGTTAAAAAAATCACTGCTCATTACGCATATGTGAAAGAAGGCAGATTTGAAATACTGGGGTCAATTTAATAAAACTTTTGCAAGTGTAATTTTTAAGTGTAGCTATTGTTTTCGGATCCTAAGACAATAGCTACACCGTCTTAAAAATTACACTTGTAAAAGTTTTATTAAGGTCTCGGTAAAGGAAAACGAGGTGCCCACAGAGAAAAATTCTAGTCGCGCGAGTATTTTCGCTACAAAGGCAAGTTATATATCAAATTAAAGCTAAAAGACTAAATTACCTTATAAAATATTTTATTTCATCGAATTTCAAAAGGCGCTTAAGTTTTTTGCTCTCGAACTCAGAGGTATCGAGTTTACTGCTGAAGCTCCAGCCCTTTCGCGTTGTTAAATATTCACTTTCTTTTTATTGCATCTGATTGACAGATAAAAGACCTAAAAAAGGGTGTGAGGAAATTTGCATATGTCTCGTATTAGGGGAATTATTACATTTCAAACTAAAAAGTCGAATCTCGAGCGCGATTTACGCAAAGAAACTGACATAAAATGAGTTACAAAGGGAAATCGGAAAATTCCTCACACCCTTTTTGAGTCTATATCATTATCCATCATATCTGAAAGTTTCAAAGCGATAGCTTAAAACCTGTCCCGACTGGAGGTCGGAGAATTTTGATTTTTGCGTCTAAAATAGAGTGAGAGAAAATCAGCTCTAAAGATTTAGCGCGAGGTCCACGCTTGGCTGGTTAGCTCAGAAAAAGCTCATTTTAGAAGGTTTAAAAAGCACTTTCTGATTTTCTTTTTCTGCCAAAATAAAATTTAGGACCCACTCATGCCAAAAATCCAAAAAAAACAAAATCGAGCAATGTACTAAAATTTTCATTTACCGAGACCTTAAATTGATCCCTGGTTGTGGCAACGACTCTCCGTATCGTACAACGAATTCATTTTTCAAACAAATCGTTTCATTAATTAATGGAATCTATAGGGGTAAGCTTGACCTGTATAACATAGCAACAACTCCAGAGGGGTTGCAACCGCACCTTCTTGTACCACGGGTGAAAGTCCGAGGGTTAAAGACTGACGTAATTTTATTTCTTCTTTAACAAATTATCTCGTGAAACATTAGTACGTGTATATTGGCGACAGGAATGAATATTTATCAATGTAGGAGCGTAAGAGTGTGGGAAAACAGAGTTCTAGTCGTTGAGGAAGCAGATGTGATCAGTCGTTATCATGGGACGGCAAGAGTATCGTCTACAGAGGCAGGGTACTGTTTTGCTACGTATTTCTTTACCAGTGTTATATCCATCCTATATACTGAGCAGCATGCATGTCATAATGTCGAACTTTAAACCTGATGTTCAACTGAAAGAATTCAGAATATAATGTATTTTTTATTCTACTCTTGGAGAATTATTTTAATTGCTATATTGTTGAAAGTAGTCACGTATTCATGAGACGACCTCATCTGGAAAGATAGACTGCAAAACAGTCCGTATTTTTGCGTATTCAAGTACTCGCGAGCAGTCAAACGAAAGGTCTGGAACGAGGCTGAAAACAGAGAGCGAGACTGGGGAGAGACGCTACAAATTTTGCATACGTTATTTTCGTTCGAATTACTCGCTTCCCCCAGCCAAGGGCAATTCCCATTGGCTAAATTTCGATGCAAGCTGTCAACAAGCTGTCAAGTAATGTTTCAACAAACCATTCGCGATATTCCGTACCGCGCGTGATGAATAGATTTCTAAAGCTTTCGCTGTGAAATGACGGATGTTGATTGCGTGGATTTGCTCGCGCAAGAACTGGGATTTGTTTTAAAATCGGAGCAGAGGGAAGCTTTGGAGATGCTGCTCAGGGGAAAGGATGTTTTCTGTGTCCTACCAACTGCCTTATTTATCAGATGTTTGTTCATGCAAAGAGTTCTTCAAGTTCCGTGCAACGGCCGACAGTCATTGTTATCTCGCCTGTGTAAAAAAGGGAGATCGGTAGAAAACACACGACTTTTACCTCATGCCAAAGTAATTGTTTTCTTTGTCGAGTAGATTACGCTTTGGAAGAAAACGTTTTGACTGGGCAAATGTGAATTTTGGCCGCTTATTAAATATATTTCATACTGAGAGGTTGTGGCACGCATATTAGGGAACTTATTAAGAACCACGAAGGAGTTCACGACCACGACGTCTGTTGACTGGGAAAAGACTGGAAAGAGAACGTCAGTTTCGGCGGGAAAAAGGAAACTTAAGGTGCACTAGGCCGGTAAGTCGACGACGACGACACTGAATACACAAATGTAAACTGTGATGTTCGTTCGCAACAAAGTTTTTCGCAATGGCGTCTTTTAAAACAATGCAAGTTCTTATTTTTTAAGCCGTGCGTCTAATTTCATGGACGATGGAGAATTTTTTTGTGTTGCTGACCTTTACGAGTGGAGAAACACCTGCTTTCCGAACAAAGATTATTCAACTTTCGACCTGAATGAGATGACCGAGTCCGAGTGCCTTTCAGAGTTTAGATTGGGAAAAAGAGACATTCTGATGTGATAGCTGTTTTCCATATAAAGCTTATTTCCTCTATATTAAAGATATATGATTTGCCTTACCTAAATACGTACAAATAAATTTATCACTTACGAGTTCATTCGCTCGGCCTCCACAGTTGTTGTCATTCTTCGAAGTAAAAACAATTCATTAGTCGAATTTTCAATCAACATCGCTTGTTAGGAGAAAAAAGGAACGATAGTTGGATTCACGAGGATAAGAAAATGCAATGGACTTCAAAAATCGCTTAAAACAGTGGATTTATACCTGCCGAAGCCTGTGGATTGCAGGACGATGTGATTCTACTTTGTTTGGCGTCGTCGACGACACCAGGAAGACGAAATTTACTGGTCGCGCTTGCGCAGTACTCCGTAACTCACTTCCGGTCGTCGTCGTGGTTCTTAATATAAGTTACCTATTGATTTTCTCTGGTCGGCATGATTTGCCCACTGATGCAAGAGCATTTTTTTTTGGCCTCTTTAGAAATGTAAAGTTCTTCATTGCGGCTGATTAAGGGTTTTAGGTTGTTTAATTTCTCCAAAGTGCCTCCTGGATTTGAATAATTCTAAGCAATTTTCTTTGTGTCCATGAATGTGACTTTTTCCTGCAAGGTTTTGTCACGCTGGGCCCAGCTCGTTAGCGTTTTTAGCAGAATGTTTAAATTCTCACGGATAGTGATTTACAGAGCCAAATCACGAAGAAGTGGATTGGAATGAGGGGATTTACCCATTCTTTTCAATCGAAATAATTGCTCATTGTCAGTTGGCGTGTTCAGTTTTTCTCTCAGTTTGGGAAGAGCATCGCAGCCCAGTTTCTAACCTTTGCTCCGCTGGAGAGCAAATTCTTGTGGAGAAAGATTCTCCTTCCTCGAGGACAACGAAAAGTTCGTTTTTCAGTAGGTCGGCCAACTTTGGTAACGTTTCTCCTTTTCTGGTAGGCGCAACAAACACATTTTCCCTGCTTATCCATCCACTCATAAAATTGGCGAACTGTATTTTGAAATTCTACAATTTATCCGAAGCGTTCGGCTCTTTCGGCTTACTCCCCCTTCGAGGAGTAGGCACAGGCTTTGTTGGCGTCCTGCCACTTCCACTCATTTTTGATCCTCTGCTTTATACATTACATTTCACAGAAAAGCAATGCTAATGCTAGGTTTTTTTTCTCTCGGCTCACACGCCTTGCGGGCGTGTGAGGCTCGCGTGCTTCGCGCTTAAGACTCTTACGCCACGCTTTACCGATTTCTTTACTGATTTTGAGAAAGAGACCGATTGTTTTGCAGTCTACTGGAAAGAACATTTTTCTCACTTTCTCTCGGAGAAAGACGTATAATACGGTCAAACATCAGTACTATACAGTAAAATCTCAAACCATCTTGTTCAATCCCCGATATCAGGATCTTAATCTTGAGAGCACAATTTAGAAAAAAAAAATTGCGAAATCGTTAAGAAATACTGCACTACAGCATAACCCCGAATGAAAGATTGTATAGTGTTCCTAGCCAGACTTAGAGTTTGCTTAACGGCAAAAAAAAAAGGCTGAAATTACCTCTAATTTTGCCTGTTTTATCAATATTAGTTGTATTGTTTGTTTATCAGTTTTCTTAAAAATGCCGCGCACCTCACCTTGACCTCTAAACATCAACTTTGACATCTTACCTGAATGGCAACTTACTTATGTTCTTTATTTTATTTTATTTCATTTTATTTACTTTTTATGAAAGAATCCCTTCTTATTGGAACATACCATTTTGATTTTCAGTAAATAATATCGTGAGCTGGAATCCCGGGTATCCTCCAAAAGTAGAGTGGAATGTTATTAAAGCATAGTTTCCATTTACCAAAACTACCTTTCCACTAAGTTCGCGCCCACAATATGTACCAAGTATTCTGCTGTCATCATCTACAATCCTCAAATAATCCCACCTACAAGCGAAAAAATGTTTTTTACTTTCCAAGGGCAGTTAAATTCCTAGAAATAACCCTAACCTCCAAGAGAACATAAAAGCCTTTTATGTTCTCCTGCCTCAACTAATTGCGAGTCGTGCTTTATGGTGGAGTTAAGGAAGCTCCAAACGTTTCTGTGGAATATCAAGCCGCCGATCAAATTCCTTCATTTTATGTTGCACTTGAGTCACTCCCGAGCAGTTAAATTGTCGCAGTCTACAAATGCCAATTAACGTTCAACAAGAGGCTTTTATGTTCTCTTGCTTTCGACCTACTTACAGATGACAAAGGCCTGTAAAAGGGATCTCACTCATCTCAACTCACGTAAAAGCCTTGAGGCTTGAAATCTTAATTTGGATTTTAAAAGAGCTATGGCATTTTCCAGATCGAAAACCATATCATTGGTCAGATCTCGGTTTAGCCAATGAGAAGTATCTACACCTTTTATTGAGCCTATCTACGAGCACCAGCAACGAACATTCGATTTTGTAAATAATAGTTTGAATTTTGTTCATTAGGCCGCGAAACAGCTGACTCGCATCGCTCTCTGCCGCTAGGAACATTTCGAGAGAGAGCCGTCTGCGCCGAAACAACAGAAATACCGTACTGATGAAGTAAAAGCTGTCACCTGGTCAATGACTAATGAATGCACTGTTTAGGCAGTATTTTCAGAGAAGAAAGAATCGAAGAAATCGTAGAAATTATATTTTTTTCGGACGTAATCTTTCACAAAATATCATGGTTTCTATATATATTACTCTACATCAATTTTTTTTCTGAGAGCAAATGACACATTTGTAACCCCATTTGGGGGGTGGTTTGGCTCCACTTGATCTGTCAGTGCGGGAAGGGGATCGTTAAAATCTTGCTATGGCGTTAAATTGTGCTTAATGTTGGCAGAAAACGCTGTGTTATGTCAAAGGAATTATGATGCCTTTTTGTGTTATTTCTTTTATCTAATAATTACTATTTCTTTCCAAATCAACATTCAAAGTTTTGTTGATTTTCAGCCTTGAATTAAGCCACGCAACGCGAGCGTTGGATGGGGTGAACCAAAATTGTCTCAAAAATTCGAGAGTTTTAATAATACAATCTAGCGGATTGGGGCCGTTAACTGCAGGTACGTACATGAAAGTCTTTCAACGCACAAGAAATGAGCAAAATCTATTTTTCACGCCATATCGACCAGACCGCTAATTTACTGGCAGATACTCTTTAATTCTTTAAAGAATTAAAGAGTATCAGTGTGTTATACATTCTTCTTCGTGTTATCAGTTTCTAAAGCTAGGTCTATCTTTATTTTAAAATTAGAGGGCTATTCTCATTGGCCGGAGTTTTCCCGGCGGGATATACTTACCTGCCAGCCTGGGTTTTTAGAAGCCTGATTTTACCTTATTTCTAGGCCTAATATCACAGATCCGCAAACTTGCAGCGTACAAGCCTAACGTCGGAATTCGTGAGTATGCTTTGACCAGCAAAAATGTAATCACTTGAAGTTAAGTTCCCAGTCTACGCTTACCAAAGCTGAGTCAGTTGAGTGGTTTTCAATTGTTTGTCATCAGTCACGTTAACTTTATTGTAAACGGTAAAAGTGAATCTGTACCACATGACCTAGTTTTCCCTTTTCTTTATGTTTAATGTTCATTTCTTCTAAAAAAAAGTGAATTGTTTCACGCCAGTTTTATCCACAAGAAATTGCTTTGAGCTGTTTTTACCTGCTATTTTTTTTTTTAATTTTGAGGTATTCTCAACTTGAATCTGACGTTTTCCGTTTGCCGTAAACTTGACTCTAAAACTATCTATTGTTAAATTACTTACCCGCATCGAGCACTTGATTCCAGGATAAAAGTTGAAAAACTGATCTTCAGCGCCTTTCCGGATGGAATGGAAACGTTGTACACACAGTCCATGTTATTTGGGTACCTTGTGGGAAATCCGGGACTTGTCAAGGTGTTGTTTACCACAGAACCACACTGTGATCCTATAAAATCAGATTGTAATTTTACACGTAGACTTGTGTTCCCTTAATCAATAGAGAACTTAAGAGTCTCGTCCCCAATGTTCTTTTTTCTACGTTCTTTGCTTTTTCGAAAGTTTCAGATGACATATCAAACTAAACGAATTTCTTAAATCCCACTATTTTTCCACTGGTTTAAAAATGCAAAGTCGCAAACTTACAGGATATTACCTGAAATCAAATCTGACCTAGGGTGATTTAGTTTTTGAACACGATAGGTGGATCACGAAAATTGCCACAAAAAAAACTTAAAGAAGAAACGTTAAGACTAAAATACAGGATGTTACCTTCATGTAGATTCTTTTTGCCTGACATACTTAAACTTAAAATTGTGAATTGTAAATGATATTTTCTTTCCTTGCATTTAATGTATATATATATTTTCTATTTTCTATATAGTTTTTATGTAGCGTCAGCTCGAAGATATTAGCTTGTTAGCTACTCTGAAATTCGAGTTTAAATAAAGTTTTATGTTTATGTTTTATGTTTTGCCAGATGTTTGGTAGTTAAACACCAGTTTCTGTTTTCTCCATGTCAACTGATTGGGTGGACGGACAGGAGAAAAATAAAGGCGTATAGTCTGCGCGATAAAAATACATGCGAACCCCCATAAGAGAGCACAAAAAATACAGACTCAACCCGGCAATCTCGGCGAGATCTGTATTGTCGCAGAGATCTCGCCGAGCTCTAGGCGAGATAAGCGAGATCTCGCCGAGATGACAGAGATCTCGTCGAGATTTTTTTAAAATTTTATGCCACGCATTTTCTTATGTGGCTGCCCTTATGATATAACAGCAAGCTGGCTTAAAGCATTCAATATTGTTAAAGCAGTCTAGCCAAACTTGGAGGCAATCG